ACTTGCTCGTAACTTCCCTCCGGTTAGCCGATATGGATTTGACATGACCCAACCGCAAAAGTAGGACGTGGGCCACCTTCCAGCTCTGAGCGCACCCACCACGGACGCGCTGCCCGCTCCTCGGCCTCGAGTGCCGTCCCCGCGCTAGATTTTCGTTCCGGTGGAACTTGCTCGTAACTTCCCTCCGGTTAGCCGATATGGATTTGACATGACCCAACCGCAAAAGTAGGACGTGGGCCACCTTCCAGCTCTGAGCGCACGGATCAGGAAAGCCAGCCAGAGGGTAGCCGTGGGGAGGGCAGGCACCTTTTCACCATTCTGCCGCCCATGGCGTGTCTGGTGGCACAGCGGGGCAGCCTTCCCACCTTCCACAGGCACAGACCAGGGACGACGGGGACGCCGTCTCCAGCGAGCTCGTCAGTGACACAGCATGTCCAGGGGCCTTTGGCCCACCAGCAAAGGAGGCAGCCAGAAAGGCTCACACCCACCTTCCGAAATAACTGCCCTACTTAGAGTCTCCACCTTGAAGTGTCCCTACCGTGCAGATGTGAAGGAAGCGGTCAGGACAGGTTCCCCTTTCCCAGTGGTGTGGTGGGAGTTCCTTCTTGCCGGATTTCTGAGCTTGCCATTAGCGCCAATAGTTTCATGTGCTCTGGGCTTTCTTTACATGCCTATATTTGTCTTTGGAGGGGTCCCTCTCCTTCTTAGTAATAAACCAATACATTTCTTAAAAATCTCAAAAGATTGACTTGGAGACTGGTGCAGATAGGTTTTTCCATCCATCCTTCCCTCCCCACCTCCTTCCAATCATTTAACAGACTTGTATTGAAGACCTGCTGTTGGCTAGACCCAGCGGAGAATACTGCAGTGACCAGAACAAGCCAGACAAAGCATCTACCATCCTGGGCTTTGGTTGGCATTGACTTTGACTTCAGAGACAGCCAGGACCTTAGGGTCTAGGATGTCATCTCTTGTGAGAGTGAAAGACGGAATGATAGGTGTTTGTGGGAAAAAGAGGACTAACAGCTACTTCCCAGTATAAAGAGGGGTCCTGGGGAAGAAACACGGGCTTTGTCAGCTGCACAGGGCTCCTTATTTTTTGAGTCGGAGTGTCGCTCTTGTTGCCCAGGCTGGAGTGCAGTGGCATGATCTGGGCTCACTGCAGCCTCCGCCTCCTGGGTTCAAGCGATTGAACTTGAACTGCCTCAGCCTCCCTAGTAGCTGGGATTACAGATGCTGGCCATCATGCCCGGCTAATTTTTGTATTTTAGTAGAGACAGGGTTTCACCATGTTGGCCAGGCTGATCTCGAACTCTAGACCTCAGGTGATCCTCCCGCCTCTGCCTCCCAAAGTGCTGGGATTATAGGCGGCAGCCGCCACACTCGGCTGAGGGCTCCTTTTTATGTCCTCATGTACTGCTGTTTTGTTATTCAGTGTGTTTCAGGGCTGGGGTAGAGGGGCAACAGATTTTCAGTTGAAGCTTAAGTGCTCTCTGGGGCAGTTAAGTTGTCCTTGGAGTAGCTGATCAGCAAAACACAAACTTGAAGTTGCTTTTGAATCTGGAGCTGGGGAAAGATTGAGTCTGCTTTGAGCAGGGCCAGGAATGGATAGCACAGAGGCCAGGAGAGGGGGCCCAGAAGAGGGCTCAACAAAAGTCCTGTGGCCGCCATTTACCTGTTGGTTGTTGCCCTGCACCTGAATCTTTCCCACTCTGACTTTGGACTTTTTCACCCTATAGTAACTGCAACTGTGGAGTAATTACAGGGGAGGATAATTACTGAAGGAAGGTTGGGATGGTGGCCTAAAGAGCTGTTCATGCCTGCTTGTTGATCCGCGGCTGGTCTGGTTGCGGGATCAGCATGAGCAACTCAATGGACTGTCAAACCCCGGAGACCATGGACACTTACTCATCACCCCCATTGTACCTGTGGTTGAGTCTCATGTACAGTAGTACTCAAAAGAGATTTAATTTTAATATAAAAAACAATGTCAGCATCTGGAAAGAGCCCCCTTATGGAGGGGGTGCTTTATACCTGCCTGTCTGGTCTCACACTAGGACAGCACGGCAGAGCAGGGACTTGAATCCAAGCAGTCTGAGTTTTTGCTCTTTACTTACACACGAATCTGTGTAACTATTTTTACAAAACTCTTAAATCTTCAGGAGTTTATTTTGGGTTATTATGTGAGTTGAATAACTCAATTATTTCCTAATAAGTATCTAATTGTACAGATGCCATTTGTTGAATACTCTTCCATTCTCGCTGATTGTGATGCCAGTTTATCACATTCAGGCATACCTTGGAGATAGTGCGTGTTCAGTTCCAGAACACTGTAATAAAGTGAACACTGCAATAAACTAAGTCACATGAAATTTTTGGTTTCCCAGTGCATATATAAGTTACGTTTACATGATGATACCATGGTCTATTGAGTGTAATAGGCAGGGCACGGTGGCTCACGCTGTAATCCCAGCACTTTGCGAGGCCGAGGCGGGCGGATCACAAGGTCAGGAGATTGAGACCATCCTGGCTAACACAGTGAAACTGTGTCTCTACTAAAAATACACACACAAAAAATTACCCGGGTGTGGTGGTGAGCGCCACCAGCTACTCAGGAGGCTGAGGCAGGAGAATGGCGTGAACCCGGGAGGCGGAGCTTGCAGTGACCGGAGATCTGCTGCTGCACTCCAGCCTGGGCCACAGAATGAGACTCTATCTCAAAAAAACAAAACAAAAACAGTGCAATAATACCATTATGTCTAAAAATGTACACATTTTAATTTAAAAATATTGCTGAAAAATGCTAACCATCATCTGAGCTCTCAGTGAGACATAGTCTTTTTGCTGGTGGAGGGTTTTGCTCCAGTATTGATGGCTCCTGACTTACTGGGGGCTATAGTAGTTCTTAGATGACAATGAAGTTTGCCATATCGACTGACTCTTCCTTTCATGAAATTTCTTTGTAGCATGAGATGTTGTTTGATGGCATTTTACCCACAGTAGTGCTTCTTTCAAAATTGGAGTCAGTCTTCTCTAACCCCACTGCTGCTTTATCAACGAAATGTATGTGGCCTTCTGAATCCTTTGTTGTCATTATGACAGTGTTCACAGCATCTTTACCAGGAGTGGATTTCATCTCAAGAAACTGCTGTCTTTGCTCATCCATTCAAGTTTGATCATGAGATTGCAGCAGTTCAGTCACATCTTCAGGCTGTAATTCTAGTTCTCTTGTGATATCCACCGCATCTGCAGTTACTTCCTCCACTGAAGTCTTGAGCCTTTCAAAGTCATCCATGCGTGTTGGAATCAACTTCTTTCAAACTCCTGTTGATATTTTGACCTCCCATGAATCACAGATGTTCTAAATGACATCTGGATTGGTGAATCCTTTCCAGAAGGCTTTCAGTTCATTTTTGCCCAGATCCATCTGAGGAACCACTACCTATGGCAGCAATAGCCCGACAAAATGTATTAAATGATGCTAACACATGAAGGTCAGAATGACTCCTTGATCCTTTGGCTGAGGAATGGCTGTGTTCACAGGCATGAAAACAGCATGAGTCTTGTACATCTCCATGAGAGCTCTTGGGTGACTAGGCGTATTGTCAGCAAGCAGTACTATTTTGAAAGGACTCTTCTGAGCAGTAGGTCTCAACAGTGGGCTGAAAATATTCACTAAACCATGCTGTGAACAGATGTGCTGACACCTGGGCTTTGTTGATCCATTTATAGTGCACAGGCAGAAGGAGTTTTGGAATGGTGAATGAGCACTGACTTCCACTTAAAGTCACCAGCTGCGTTAGCCCCTAACGAGAGTCAACTTGTCCTTTAAAGGTTTGATGCTAGGCATTGACTTCTCCTCTCTAGCTATGAAAGTCCTAGATGGCATCTTCCACATTGAAAATCTGTTGTTTAATGAAGACTGTAAAACTCAAAGACAACACAAAAGAACAGAATAAGCAGAAAAAACACCAAGTAGCCACCTTCATCAGTTATCTTAGCCATGTCTTCTGGATAACTTGCTGCAGCGTCCACATCAGCACTTGCTGCTTGACTTTGAACTTTTGTGTGATGGAGATGGCTTCTTTAAACCTCGTGAACCAACCTCTGCTGCCTTCAGACTTTGCTTCTGCACCTTCCTCAGTTCTCTCAGGCTTCATAGAATTGGAGAGAGTTAGGGCCTTGCTCTGGATTAGGCTTTGGTCTAAGGGAATGTTGTGGCTGGTTTGATCGTATCTCGAGACCACTGAGACTTCCTCTGTATCAGCAATAAGGCTGTTTTGCTTTCTTATCAATTGTGTCTTCACGGGGGTAGCACTTTTAATTTCCCTCAAGCTCTTTTCCCTTTGCATTCACAACTTGGTCGTTTGGCACAAGAAGCCTGTCTTTGAACCTTTCTCAGCTTTCCACATGCCTTTCTCATTAAGATTCGTCATTTCCATCTTTTAATTTTAAAGTGAGAGATGTGTGACTGTTTCTTTAACTTGAACACTCAGAAGCCGTTGTAGGGTTATTAATTAGCCTAATTTCAATATGGTGTCTGGGGAACAGGGAGGCCTGAGGAGAGAGAGGGAGCAGCTGGTTGGTGGAGCAGTCAGAACACAGACCACGTTGATGGATTAAGTTAATTGTCTCATATGGCACAGTTTGTGGCACCCCAAAACAATTACAATAGTAACATCACAAATCACTCATCACCATAAACAGATAAAATAATAATGAAAAAGTTTGACATATTGCAGGAATTACCAGATTGTGACCCAGAAGACACAAAATGGCCACATCCTGTTGGACAAATGGCACCAAAAGACTTGCTCAGCACAGGGTTGCCACAGACCTTCAGTTTGTAAAAAAACACAATTGCCTGTGAAGCTTGTTAAAGTGAAATGCAGTGAAATGAAGGCTGCCTGTATTAAGCTGTTTATACTGAGGTCTTTCTGGGCAGCTGATGGTTTGATTTATCTTTTTTATTCTGGTGAGCATTCTGTTAACTGGTAGGGTAGGTCTTTTCTCTGTACACTTACTAAACCAAAAAAGTTCTTCTCCCTTATATTTTCATATAAACTTTGGAATATTTTTTGTGACATCTGATAACAAAACACCAAAGAAATGGGTTGCACTTTATTTAAAATTCCTTAAATACTGAATCTTTTAATCCAAGTACTTGGTGGTTTTTTCGGCTTATTCTGTTCTTTTGTGTTGTCTTTGAGTTTTATAGTCTTCATTAAATGGGCTGGATTTGTATTTACGTACATGTATTTTTTAACCTTTGTTTTTATTGAGGTGGGATTTCTCTATGGTCAAGTGCACCTGTCTGAGGAGTTTCTTAGGCAGGCCTCCCTGTGGCCGTTGCCCAGGGCAGCATGGTAGGGAGTCACCCGTGTAGCAGATAGCAGCATTTGCTCAGCCCTTGGATTTTGCCGTATGTCTTTTTTGTAGTGTAGTGTGGTTCTCCTTCATCGTTTCCCAGTATTAAGATATTTGCTAGATTCTTTGATACAATATTGATTCAGTCTGCTGATATTTAGGATCTTGCTTCTGTACTTTTCAGTAGGTTTGGCTTATTCAGTAGATTCTTTGCTACAATATTGATTCAATCTGCTAGTATTCTCTTTTTTTTTTTTTTTTTTTTTTT